TCATGATAGAACTCATAGATTACTGGATAGAGATAACTCATATAAAAGATAGTCATTTGAGAATTTGAGAATATCTAAACCAGACATCAAGCAGGATCATTTTGATGGAACTCTCAAAAATAATTCTTTAATGTTCATATTAAATTTGTGTTTGCACAAATGTCATGCCCACTGGCTACAGTGGAATTGAGTTTCTTCAAAATAACTGTCTGAGGCCTTTTACAACTTTATTTTTTATTAAGTTGTCTTTTGTTACTTTGCTTTCTTCTTTCTGCTTTTCAGTTAAACTGGCAAAAGACTGGCATTACATAAACAAGACATAAACTTTTCTCTCAGGAATTTAATATTCTGTGCTATCATTTCTTCTCCTACTTTTCTATTAAACTTTTGAAGAAAGTTCTTTTTATCTCTTACATATAACCACCCTCAGAGAGAAGTGTTTAGTTTACAAAAAAGAAGCATATTATGAAGTGCATTGAGTCTAAATTCGAAGACTTAATTACTCCCTAGCATCTCCAATACAAATGAATATGCTAGGTGGATAGTTATGTGAGGTAATAATTTTCCAATTGGTGAGAAATATTTTCCTAAACAATGTGTTTGACCATTTTAATAAAATCATCCTATAGATAACAGCACGCAAGCATTCACTGTATCATTTTCTAGATAAACTTCTCAAGCCATTGTTCACAGGGAAAACCCTAAACTTCAGATTCTATTGTCCCACTGTTGTTTCATTTTGCCTCTTACCCATGGTCAAACCACTGGCAGTCATCTAGGAAAACAAAACAAAACAAAAAACCTGTTACATAATCTTGTACCTAGGGAAAAAAAAAACCTGAACTGCTACAATTCCCATACTACTAAAGTTTTAGGTTAGATAACAGACGCCAGCAAGATGGCATGGTATATCTAATGCTGTTTTCTGTAATGATGGACAAAGTTACTAGGATGGGAAAAATGTAGTGCCTGAATTCAAGTCTTGGCCTTCACATGTATTCTACCAGCCTTTTATTCTTTTGATTTGCATAAAATTATTTTAATTCCTCTATACTGGGTTTTTTACCTGTTTAAATAACACAAAAATTAATGCTTTTAAAAATCAGAAGGAAACCCATATTATTTACTTCCCATTTTTGTCAACTATTTTATGGTGGACTTGTGGGATAGATATGTATAACTTGCATTTCATCTTGCAGGAACTGAGCTTACCTGTGATCATTTAGCAGCAGAAGTGGGAGTAATAGTTGACTTAAAATTCAGCTTTATTCTGTGATACATTTGGTGAATGAGGAAACAGCCATTTACAAATGAAACCTAGTCATAATCTCTTTGCAAGTCAGGAAAGTTCTGATTGAATGACTCGTCTTTGCTTTTGGCTTCTAGAAGGAAGTTATGGTATTTGAGACTTCCGTTTGCTTGTTTCTAGATGTCTTGTGGAGACACTGGGAAAAGTGGGTGTGTACTGCCACACTGAGTTTCTGTGAGGTGACAGGCCTATAACTTGCATCATTATGCACATGGCAGCATGGATCACATGATTTTTTTATCCTTACTTGAACAGATCAGCGTTTACCCTTTACATTTCGTGATGATGTTGTAGACAATATCATAGTCTAGCAGGGAAAAAAGAATAAAATACTGCCATTATTAAGCACTTCATTTCACCATAAGCATTCTTGTGTGTGTGTGTGTTGGATTACTAAATACATTGGGACCAATGATGACTTCTCCATGAAGGAAGACAGCTAAACTGAGGGGTGAGACCCATCTGTCTAATGCCATGGGTTCAGAAACAGGCAGCTCCTTATTGTAGGCCATTGGGCACTATCAATGATACCCTACAGTTGGTTCCAAAGTCCAACAGTGGGAAAATCAATCCCAAGGCAGGTCACCCACTGGTCTAGGGGGTGAAATAGAAAACCAGATATGAGGAACAGAGTTAAAGCAAGGAAGTGACAGAACCAAGGAAGATGAGGATAAAAAAACAAGATAGTAGCAAATATACATGGTTAGGGTTCCTAAGATTTAGGCTGCATCAGGATTGCTTGGACAGCCTGTTAACACAGGTGGCATTATACTCCATCTTTAAACTTCTATTGAGTAAGTATGGGACAGGACTTAGAAATTTGCAATTTGATCAGACTCCTGTTCATGCCAATGATGCTGTCACTGTGGGGGGCATTGGGTCTAATTTCAGAGATGAGTGAGTGATTCTTAAAAGCTTCTGGAAAAATTTTATTGGATGAATGGAGGTTTTAAAAGCATTGGGAGCACAATAGATAAATATATTTTAGCTTCTTTATATTTTAGTCTTTTGAAGTCAAATGCATAGTTCAGAGTTTATGAGGCTAAGCACCTCTTTCTGTAAGATACAAAATAAGATGTTCGTATCTTACAATATAAACATGCATAGAAACTATTCTCTTTCAATGGGAACTGATTCATTTACTTTTTTGTAGCCCTCAGCCTATTCAGAGCTCTGGTTAAGTTGTGTGCTCTGAAAGTAGCCTAAGGTAGTAGACTGCGTTGGCTCTATTGTGGCTTTGTACCATGAGCCACAAGTGTCTCAAACTCCCAGAACTTCATTTGTAGGAACGTATTGGCAACTGAATACTGTCATTGCAAGAGTTAAGTGACATAGTTCCTTTAAGATACGTTTTCCATGTCTGGCACATAATCATTGTTCCACGAATCTTAGCTATTATTGGAACACTAAAGTAAATGCCTTTATTCAGGAATGTGACTTTGTGTATAATACTGTTATTTATCTCAGCTTTAACCTGATAGGATGTAGCTCTGTATAACTCTTCTGCTAAGAATAACCCTGAATTGGCATGAAGTTATAAATTATATTGAAACAATGTAATCTCACAGTTAAAGTGTATTCCAGATAGCCTAGAGTCTAAAACAATCTCCAGAAATTTCAAACTAAAAAGGAAGAACACTGTGTAGAGCATTAGCTGTGGGACTAGATTGCCCAGGTGTGTGTTTTGCCCTTGGTATAATTGTAGTTCACATTGGTCAACCTAGTAAACATCCATCAGACACTTTTCCTAAGACTCCCTTATGACACAATGAGCAGACAAGTAACTTTCCCTGCTACATTTTCAGTGAAAGATCAAGGGAGAAGAGTACAAGGTCAAATGGCAAACATTGTTTTCCAGTCGCTGTGAGGTTGTCTGGTTGCTGAGCTTGGTACAGGTGACATTATTCCCTTGCCAGTGTTATGATCCTGAGGGGGGAAGCAGGGATATGAGCTCATCAGTTTACCCCTTCCCCCGTTTTCTACCTATGATTCTCCTACACCAAGTCTCACTGATCAAATTGCAACACATCACATACTGAGTTCAAAGAAAAGAATCTTACATTTCCTTATCCACAGCAACATGGAAAAGAAGAGGGTTTGTATCACATGCCAGTTCCTGTCTAACCTCCCTCTCTCATTTTAGAAGTCTTAAGAGCCACCCTTTGCAGCCCTACCCCACAAAGCTTTCCACCCACCAGTTCAGCCTGCTTGCCAGGCTCACTGAATTATAGGTCTCTCAGTAAATTCTTCATGGGAGCGCACAAATAGACTATGGCTTGAGGTCTGTTTAGGGTGGGGCCTTAAAAAACGAACATGTAAAATGCAAAGAACTACAAATACGGGATATAGGAAAAGATAGTATTTTGTATAATGCATGCTAACTTAAACTCAGTCAGATTTGATGGGTTAAGGACACAGGCCTCACACACTGCCCCCATTTTAGACTTTAGTTGCACGTTTGAGGGTCCTCAACTGACTAAAAACCAAACTCAAAAGTTTTCCAAACACTTCAGGTTCAATCATTTGCCAGAGCAACTGACAGGACTCAGGAAAGCACTATCCTTATCAATAAAACTGTATTAAAAAGGAAAGAAATCAGGACCAATGAAATGAAGAACACAGGGAGTAATACCTGGAGGGTTTCATGTATCCTCAGGATACATCGCCTTCCTGGTACATCTATCTCAAACCAGGTAGCTTTTCTAGGCCTTATGTCTAGGGTTTTTGTTGGATTCTTCTATGTAGGTATGATTGACTGGAACACTGGCAATAAGATGGAGTCCATACTCAATCCCACCCACCTCCCAGTGTTGGGCAGATCAGTGATTTCATATGGCTGGAAGCCCTAACTCTAGCCATATTCTGATTTTTCTGGTATGAACAGCCCCTATGCTGGAACTATCTAGGGATGTAGTAAACCACCACATTAGCATAAACTGAGGTGTGATCCTAAGGAATCGCCAATAACAACAGATATTCTTACCACTAGAGAAATCTCAGTGGCATGGAGCATCTTCCCAAGAACCCAGGACAAAGATCTAATAAGCTCTTTATTCCACAACAACCAGAAAATGCAAATGAAATGGGCCTGTTTAAGAAAGAAAAACATAGAAAAAATATCATTTTTGTGGTAAAGAAACTAGCTAAAAAATGCCATTTGAATATCACACAAGTGGCCATTGAACACTATTCCTCTTTTCATTTGCTTCCCAATCATTCATTCATTTAACATTATTGATTACCTTCAATGCTAGTCACTAGAAATATAGTTTTACACATTCTGAGTAATAAATTGCTTCCTTTATTAACATTACACAGAAAAGTGGATGGCCTATTTGAAATTCTTTGCTTATTAAGAGTGATTGAGAGGGCTGGGATATGGCTCAGTAGACATCATACCTAGCATGATTGAAGCCCGGGGTCCATCCTAGCTCTAGAGTGATAGGAAATTCTCCAAAACAGGAAATTTTATGCATGAAAAGTTGTAAGGGAGGCCAGCCTGAAATTCTTGAGGAAGTGATGAAAACAAGTACAAATTGTTTATTACCACGAAAGCTGCCACTTGTTCTTCAATTTGTAAACCAAAGTCAAGAAAAGTCCTTTGTGATGTGATGTGTTATAAATTGTTCTTTTTTTGCTTTCCTGTAATTGGAGCAACATACTAATTTCTACAAGTTGTGACTACTAACAGAGGGCAATCACCTCACAGACTTGTACCGAAGAGATGAGACCATCCAGGTGACAGGCAACGGCCATGTGCAGAGCCCCCGCTTCCCCAGCAGCTACCCCAGGAACCTGCTTCTGACCTGGCGGCTCCACTCCCAGGAGAAAACCAGGATACAGCTCACTTTTGACCATCAGTTTGGATTAGAGGAGGCAGAAAATGAGATCTGTAGGTAAGTGAGGAAAAAATTCCATTAAAGGCGATTGTTCAAAGTTGAACAAAAGAGATGAATTTAAAGCATCCCATCCAACATTCCTTTTAATCTCTTTGGCCTACCCTTGTGTGCACCCTAGCAGACAAATGGACTGCACTGCATAGGGCCTGGTTACCTTGCTGGACTCCATAGGCCGGGTGGAATGTCAACATCTGTGACTTTTCCAAGCCCAGAGCCAAAGCCTGCCATAGGCCAAGGGAACACAGAACCCAGCTCAGCTACAGGGCCTGTGTAACTAGTGCTGGAGATGGCTGAGGACCATTTTAGCTTTATGCCTCGAGTATGTAGTGGAAGAAAGGGGAGGCGCGCCCACAGTGTGTGTGCTGCTTAGGTGTCTATTTCCTGTCATTTCTGGGTCATGGTAGAAGATGAAAGCTGGGCCTGATAATCCTATCCCTTAGCACATTCCTCAGAGAAAGTCCAAGCTGCTCCTCTTTGAATTGTCCAGGCCCAGCATTTTACGTGCCTAATTATCATGTATAAGACTCGAGGAGGATTTTTTTTCCCCTTTTTATATTTTACTGCATGTACTTGTTCTGCATTGCCAATGAACTACTGAACTGCTAAATCCTTCCAGCAGGTTTATTTTCCCTTGAATAATAAAAAGTGCCTCAAATTTGATCGTCCTTTGTTGCATGTGTATTATGCTGACAGTTTTTATTATGTTGCTATTTTTTGGAGAGTAACAGCAGTGACTATTACTTTCTAGGACCATAGAGGGTAATGTATGCCAGAAAGCAGAGACAAATACATGCACGGAGAGCCAGTTAATATTTACAAAGAGAATAAACTAAAGCTGATCTTGTGTCTTTTCAACCTTGAAAAGGAGAACTAATTTTCTGTGCTAAAAAAAAAACAACAAACCATAGTTTAGAAGAAAAACCCTATTAAAGACTGTTTAAGATGATGACATGAAAAACACCAGTGTCAGTACCTCACAGAATATTCTGACACCTAGTGGTAGGGATCAGGTCTCCCTGCATCAACCAATTCAGTAACACCTGCTGGGCACCTTGCTGTTGGATTTAATTCTGAGACCATCTACTTGCATGGTGTTAGCATCTGATCCCCTTAAGGGCTCAATCCCTCAAGACTCGCTACATAAACTATCAATTTCAAGTCCCAAACTTCCCCTAAGACCCACAACCCCTTCTTTGTCTTCAGTGATTTTCTGTAACAATACATGAAACTCAAGGCAACACATTACTGACTACAACTAGTTTATTATAGAGGTTGCAACTCTGAATGAGCCAAACAGAAGAGCTAAGTAAAGTGAGTAGGAAGGGCACATTTCTCCAGATGTATCACAGGCCAAGAGCCTTGATGCATTCCCTAACCCAGAACTTCTCTGATCCTCATAGTTAGGGGGACTTTTATAGAGGTTTTATTATGTAAGCATTATTGATGTAATCATTCAATCTCCAGACCCTTCCTTCTCCCCAGAAGTTCAGGGGTGGGGCTGGAAGTCCCAACGCCCTACTCATACCTTGGGCTGATGACCTGATGCCATTCTGAAGTTATGTAGGACCTACCAAGGATCAACCATAGCAACATGCATTGTGTATTAGGAATAACAAAAGAAGCATGTCTTATCCCATCTCGCAGAAATTCAGACAGACTTAGGAAAAGATAAACACCAAATATATTATTATGTTTTTCTTGCTATATGCAGAATCACAGGAGGAAATGCATTACTGCGCTAAGATTCTGATCAGGTGTTAGGACAGTATCATTTCTGGCTTGCTCCTTGAATGTAATTGGTTCCCAAAATGTATGCAATGAGTTAGAAGAATAAGAGGAAGAAGAGAAACAGATCCAAGACCTGCCTTAAACTCCCCAAGAAGAAGGGCAGGAGAAGATAATAGTGTGCTCTTTTTTATTGTCAGCCATGGGTCATGGAGCTTGAACTCGGGGCCTGAGTGTTGTCACTGAGCTTTTTCCACCCAAATCTAGCACTCGACCACTTTGAGCCACAGCACCACTTCCAGTTTACTGGTGGTTAATTGGAGATAAAGAGTCTCACAATCTTTCCTGCCCTTCCCACAACACCAAGATCTCAGCCTCCTGAGAAGCTAGGATAACAGGTGTGAGCTAAAACTATTTGGTTTGGGGTGGGGGGGGCAGTCCTGGGGCTTGAACTCAGGTCCTGGGTGCTATCTGTGAACCTCTTTGTGCTCAAGGCTAGCGCCCTACCATTTGAGCCACAAAGCCACTTTCTGATGTGTCCTTGACTTTGGACTCAAGAATTAAAATTACACTGATGTGTAGTTTTAAATAAAAATAGCTTATTGTTTATTAGCAAAGTTTCAAGTATATTCAGCTTTGTGCAGTAAACATGATTTATACATATTATGTATAAAATGAAATGTAATTGATTTGCTACCATCTGTTCCAAAGCCTCCTTGATGTTTACATTGTAATATTTTATTGCTTGAATAATGATTCTTTGTTAGGGCTTTTCACCTTCCAAGCACCATATAAATATAAAGTAATTTACATGGCACACGAGAGATATCCAGCTGGCAAAATTATATAAACCTTCTTATTTCACCCATAAGGAAACTGAGGCATAAGACACGAGCGTCACATAAATCACTGTCAAAGAAATTTAGTCACAATGTCTTTATTTCTCACCTACTCCTTAGATTATTCTTCATAATGCAATAAGGACTGTGGGGCACCTGGATAAAATTACCAATTCAAAGTGGTCCATCTCCCTATTCAGACTTGATGCTTCTTATGCTGATTCTTTATGGTAATTTTGACAGAAAATGATAAGATAGGAGATTTCTGTCACTTTTCATCCAGCATGCCCACTGTTCACCTAGAATGCTTGTGACTTTAATATTTAAAGTCATTTAGGGAAAGTTAGAGAGGAACAGTGAGATACTGATGACCAGAACAGAATGACAGGTAGTAAAATGTTCCAAGACCTGAGGAGTCTGAAAATAGAATCAATGATTCCTGAGAGATGTAAATAGCTGTCATTGACGATGCCTTACTAGATGAAGGGGTGGTGGGATGTGGTGGGAAGGAATGGGTGGGGGAACTTGAGTATTAAATCGTCACACAGAATAAATATGTCTTTGCTGCTTTCCTTATTGCTGGGTACTGAGTGTGAGTTGAGGATCTTGAGCATATTCACACCCCTTGTAACTACCCCAAGACATTTGGGATATTGGTTAGCAGATAACTTTCCTTTAAAGGTTGTATAGTTTGCTTTATGAAAACTATCATATTTTATGATGTGATACTTCCAAATATAATTACCAAAAAGAATAAAATAAATCATGTCCATAGACATGTATGCCCTGTAATGAGAATTTTTATCCTTATTATAAAGCTAAATAGATATCAATCATGTTTGTCCCAAGAAAACCTGAATATGCTGTATTAACTCAAAGTGGGATTTTGTTTGAAAACTTTATGAAATATATGTTTGGGTATATAGCTTGTGCCATATCTGAAATATGCCAGACAGATTGTAGTTGCTAATTTTTCTATAACTTCCTATGCCAGATGCTCAAAAAGCCACCCACTTTGATTATTAATCATCTGGGAATAGTCATAATTGAGGGTATATAAGGGCTTTCTCAGAATAGATGATTGACAATCAAGTTTGGATACCTAACTGGGAAACTCCTCCTAACGTTTCTGTAGTTTTCAGTTGACAAGTCATGAGAAATCACATTTTAATTTCTCAGCAAAATTTAATTATCCAAACTTATTCTAGGTATGATTTTGTGGAAGTTGAAGATGTATCAGAAACCAGTACAGTTGTTAGAGGCCGGTGGTGTGGACACAAAGAAGTTCCTCCAAGGATCACATCAAGGACAAACCAAATTAAAATAACATTCAAGTCAGATGACTACTTTGTGGCAAAACCTGGATTCAAGATTTATTATTCTTTTGTGGTAAGTAGCAAAACCACCCTGTGATTAAAAGCAGACTCTGGTTCTATGAAACAAAGAGGTTATTTTCTAGGATTAAATACAGTGGCGTGAGGGTAAATGAACTTTATTAATTCTTTTGTTCCTACCCTATGGGCAATATGTTCAAGCCTGTATTTGTAATGAATACCACTGTGGATCTAGTAAGTCAATCTCTGGTCATGCATCTTGAACGCGAGAATATTAAATAGAAAAAGGGAAATGATTTATAGTGAGGCATTTATAAAATTACTTTAATCCAACTGAAGCCAGCTATAGTGAATAGAAGGTATATGAGTGAAAAACAGGCTGTTAGAATTGAAGCTAAAAATGAATAGTCCCCATTTTGTTTGAAAAAGTTGCTCATAAATTTCATCACAGAAAAGCATCCTGATGGTTTTAGTGTAAATAGTGACAGAAGTTAGGAAAGGATTTCTCTGCAGTCCTAGAGCTCTACAATTAGCAAGTATCTTTAAGATAAGAAGAACCCACACAGGACCCAGGAGCCTGCTTCAGGTTTGCTACATCCATTTCTTAGCTTTATTTCTCCTTACGTAAGGCTCATTAATTAATTTAGTGTCAAGCGTCACTGCCAAGAACAAGCACAGAACTGTAAATGGCATATATCTCATGCTATGTTGTGTTTTACCTTCCTCTTAAGAATTCAATGTAGAGCAGGAAAAATCTTGCTTCTTTTTTATTTTATTATCTTTTGCATTATGGTGAGCTATTAAACACTAAGTGGATTCTGCACCAGAACATTACAAATGAAAAGAAAATAGTATATGGTAACACTGGTTCCAGTTCTAATTTGAAAATAATCCATCAGGTATGATTGACATTATAGCAAACTCACACGTTGATGCTCAATACTAAAATTGAAGTGTGAACATTTGCTTTTCACATTTCTTTCCCTTTCCGTGTGTTCAGTGATGCATCTGTTCTCAATTGTTCATGGACAAAGCAGTCTTGACATCTTAGAATGGTGATGAATGGCTTAGTGAAAGATCTTTTTCCCTTAAAATATCAAACACTGTTGGTATGAGTGTATATGTTTTCTGTGATGCTTTGGTTATGACTAAGTGGAGTGGTCCATAAATCCATTAGAAGCAATAACAATAACACAATGTCTTTAAAGCAAAATACCTCCTTTGGCGGAAGACTTCAGGCATTGGAGCTTACAGCGCACTCATAGCAGTGAACCTGCTCATTGATGTGTTGGACAATTCCTGTAGTCTGGTTGTAAACTATTTGGTCTTACCACCCCTTCCCAAACAGACACACTTACCTCTACTTGTACATTCCATTGTGCCTTAAAGAAATGTCATATTCATAATAATTTTTAAATAAGTTTTTTTATTGTGAAAATACTGTACAGAGGGGTTACAGTTACGTGAGTAAGGTAATGAATACATTTCTTATCAAGCATTGTTGCCTTCTCATTTGTTTTTCCCCTACCATCCCTTCCTTCCCACCTCCCCCCATCACCTCTACCCTCACCTAAATTGTAAAGTTCATTTTTCAACATAGCATCTTGTACCTCTCATTGTTGCAATGGGTCCACCTGTATCCCTATTTAAACAATTTGTTTTTTTCCCTTTCCCTCCCCAAATTATACCGACATCAAATACAGTGAAAATGGGATTTTGTATGTTTTCCTACTGGTCTCTCACTCTGTTCCATCAAAGGACATTGCGTCCACCTCCTACCATGACCCTTAGGTTCTGGCATTGACTGTGATCAACAAGGACCAAAGGGCTTTGGTAGCTGGATTTCAAGAGGTAAAATGAGCTTAGGTATATATAGACTGTGGTTTGGGGACAAAATTATGACTCTTGCTTAATAGTTATAGATTATCATATATGTCTTGGCCATGGTGTTTAAAAAGTTACTTTGCTCATGTCTCCACTTTATGTGGAGACTTTAATGAAGGATTTATAAACTCAGCAGATTCAGCTTGAAACTAAAAGTAGGATAGATAAATTGGCAGGAAGACAAAGGTATTAAAATGGTAAGCCCTGATAAAGTATACTTAAATAGTGATTTTGAGAAGGCCACTAATTTATGGGGGACAGATGCAGCTGTTTTCTAACCCCCTTATTAAAGGAATGGTGGCTTCTGGGGAAACTTGAGCTGAAGAATAGTTTCCAGAGAGTCAAGGCGCCCTTGGAAAACAGCATTTTGACCAGTTCGGAGAGGTCAGGTTCACCTCCTTTCTTCACTTCTGTATCTCTCATTGAATATCCCTGCTCTTCCACCCTCAGTGACTGTCAGGAGTCCAGGGCCGATGGAGTAGGCATGCAGGAACTGGAATTAAATCTGCATGTCCATGGTCGTATGCTTTTAGAAATGCACGGTGTTTATTTTCAGTTGATTTTTACACTAGCAGACTGTGGGAGCCTAGTGGGTAACATTAAGACAGTTCATTTTGGCTAGGAATGACTCTTACACTCCAGCCTGGTATGGTGAGCTTGAGATGTAGTCCTCTACCTTCTTCCAGCACCTCTCATGGCCTCTTCCCAGAACAGGCAGCACTGGCACATTAGGCAGAGCTATACTTCATATCAGACACAGGCTTCACCAGCCACTGATGCTATACTGACAAATCTCTTCTTTGCTTTTATAGTTTTGCAATTCGAATTGGTGGCTATTTTATAAGACAAAAGTACTTAGCATAGTGCCTAGGACATGGTTAAACCTCAATTAATAACGGTGAAGATCCTCCTTATGCTGTCAGAAATCATGTCTGTGTCTGTCTCCTCTAGATAAATGGTGGTAACTTTCTTGAGGACAGGTGTAAGGCAAGTATCTTGTTCCTCTACATAGTCTACAGGAGCCTTGCACCTGACTGTTGGATCAACCCTTAAAATATAACTATTAAGAAGAATTGCCTAAATTCATTTTATTACTCCCCTGCTAAGCCTTCTTTTCTTTTTATTTATTTATTTTATTTTATATTATTTGTGAATATACTGTACAGAGGGGTTACAATTACATGGGCAGGATAATGCATACATTTCTTACCAAGCATTGTAGCCTCCTCCTTTGTTTACCCTTCACATCCCTTCCCAGCCTCCCCTCTCCCCCACCCAATCCTTCCCCACCTTCTTTTCTGATTTCACATTATTGAGGAAATAGATAGCTTCAGGATGCATAATTAAGCAGAATGGATAATGTTATCAAACACTGGCTAGATGTGATTATCTAAATAAATTAGTTCTTACTATTGCAGATCATGTTTGTTGGGGAATAAAAGAATGATTGCATAGTTAGAAATCATTTCTTCTTTGTTTTTTTTTTAAGACTACTAACTATGTTATTGGGAAAATGTCTACCCAGTGGCTAGTGTGCAGAGAAGAACAGCTTTCGCTATGCATTTTAGTCATGCATTTTACTGTCTGCTTCCTTTCTATGAAATGGGACAATACTACCTGACGAGGCAGTTATGAGGATTAAACTAGATACATTTTATAAACTATTAAGCCTAAAATATACTGATTACTAAGATACTTTCTGCTATTATTGTTTTCATTTTCACTGGTATGATTGTTAACATATCGAGTAACAGGTAAGTTTGGTGGGTTTCTAAAAGTAGCCCAGTTTTTGTTATTTCTGGGTGTATAAGCACATGTGTGTGGGTACTCTGCCCATAATTCGACATTTCTTTAGGTAAGAATATGTTATTTTACAACCTAATAATCACAAGAACTTCTATTTTACAGAGCAGTACTTAGGTCTATGTACTTAACAGGTAAATTTTATAAATACAAAAATAAACCAATTTACTTGAAAAATATACTTGTTTTATTAATAAGATCAGGTTTATTTTGCAAATTGAAGTTTGCTAATACCTAGTATTAAGACTTCCCAGTTTTTGCTTAGGAAAAAAACAATTTACAGATTGCTTAACTAGGTATGCAGAATTAACTTAAAATAGTACAAGTAAGATTTCCATTGAGATTAAAACTCATATGGTTAGGTATAAATATAGCTACTTAAGATAGAAAAAGGAGAAAGTAGAAGAGGAAGAAGATGGAGGGAGAAAGAAGAGGAGAATGGACATAGGACATTCTAGGAGTTGGGCATCATAAGGTTCTTAATTAAAATAATATTTCAGATTCTAATTCTGCTCACCTAACACTTCCATTAGGGGGGAAACAAAAGTATCACTCACAAAGTAAATGTGGGCAATTCAATCTCATTCTCCCAGCTGAGTTCTCAGCATACTATAGCAAATAAGAACTCCTGCACTTTTCTCTGAGATGTGTGAAAACTCAGTCTTGATTTTCACAATCACCTGAAAGTTATTGAACATTCTGAATGCTCCCTAGTTTTCTGGCCACTTCAGCCAGAACTGTATAAAGAACCAAAGTGTGTGTGCTGATTCCCACTACAGATTCTCCTAGGGAGCTAGGGAGCTATAGGAGCTGTTTCATAAACACCTCTTGTCTACCAGACAAGGCATGTCCATCACTCCAAAGATACAACGCTGAAGAAGACAGGCTGAAGGTAGACAGATCTGCCCTCGGAAACCCTCATGGTAATGCAAGGAAACAGAAACATGCAAGCAGGGATGTTCAGTGTTTGCACCAACATAGATTGTGTGAACCTCAATAATGGCTGATAAAAGAGAGCAAATGATGGAGAGTGACCAGAACACATCCACTGCAGTCCCTAAAAGAAGAAAGATTAGCAGATAGATGCAAACTTACAACTGAGGCCTGAAATACCAGAAGGAACCTACCATGCACACTGAGGAGAGAAGAGTACATTAAGCAAAAAATGAGAACATGCTGAGAAACAGAAAAGGCTATAACAGAGAAAGCTAAAACAGAAGATACCTTCTCTGTATTAGTGTTGCTCTTGCCTTGGCATTCCGGCTGCTGAAGAGGGAGACAGAAGGGCGGAAACAGAACCGTAGCTGACTCTTAAGTGGGAGCAAGTTTGCTTACCCTTATCTCAGTACCTTATTTCTTAAGTTTCTT